TCAAATGGGAGCTCACTCACGGTTGGAAGAGTGGTTTCGGCTGGAACCACGGTTTCACCTGGAAGATCAATAGTCAGGTCTTCCACCGGAGGCTCCAACCGAACTGTCTGGTCCACACTAACAACCGGAGTATCCTCAGAAGAAGAGTCTTCATTAGAATCTGAGCCTCCAAGGAACTGCTGCTACATGGCATTCGCATACTCCGCAAGGGAATTCGGTATGAAGTAGGCTGGAGGGTTGAAGACCTCGGTCTGTTGATCATGACCGAGCTTCTCAACTGTAGCCCTCCAGCCGCACTTGAAGAATAGCTCCTTGGCAGCTGCGCACTGCTTGGCATAAGCATCCTCTGCCTTCTTGAAGCCTTGTTTGCCGGTTTCTTTTGCGCTCTCCTTTATTTCGGCATCTTTCTTCCTTTCGAGCTTAACCAGCTCGCGCAAGTACTTGTCCTTCAGAGCTATGGCAGCCTTCTGCCTTTCAACTTCGGCCGAACTAACCAGTCCGGTCAGTCGGCTGTTTTCAGCTTGTAGCTCGGCCATTTGCTTCTTGATGTCTTCTAGCTCGGCCGACTTCACTTCAGCTTTTGCCACAGCTTGCCTTGTATTTTTTCTGAGTTCCAGCACTTTCTTGTGAGTGTTGTAGTTTTTCTGAATTGCCTGACAAAACAAAGACTTCCCATGAGCCGAAGTAAAAGTTTAAAAAACTAGACAGAAAAATGGACAGAGCTACTTACCAGGATCATGGACTTTGTGGCAGACCGGATGGACTTTAGTTCGGTGTTTAACTGCTTCTGGTGGTGCTCCATATCCTTGGGGAGGCACACACTCCTGGCCAGGCTAAAGGCCAACTGGTGATCTTTTTCGACGACAACCGAATCAGCATCTAGGATATCTTGGTCGTTGAAACTGAGCTTTGGTGCCCAGCTGGTGATAGTTCGGTCGGTAGGCTGCGGCTGGGGGCTCGGTGGCAGAATCGGTGGAACAGCAGTCTCATCTTCTACCAAACTTGGTTCAGACTCGGTGGTTCGGGCGCGCTTGGTTCGGCGCGATGAAGATGGTTGCTGAGAGGGGAGGGCCACAACGGCAGGCTGCGTTTGGCTTGGTAACGGTACTTCGGGCCTGCTTGTCTCGGTTAGAAGCGCCTTTAGTCTGTTCTTCTTGGCCATTTCCTCTTCAGCGGTTAATGGAATTAATCTTATTTGTGGCAAGGTTGGGTCTGGCTCTGGGGCGTCTTCGAGAAGAAAGTCAGTTACTCTAGCTTTACGGCGACCACTGTATCGGTAGGTCGGCTCGAATTTCAGCAATTTGGCCCAACTACGTTCAGGATATCGTAGTGCGGCTCGCAAAATTGCAAGATTTGGATAGCTATATAAGGAATGAAGGTGGGCAGAATCTGCGAAAGAAGAAACTGTTAGTTCGGTTGATAGACTAACAAACCGAAATAAAAAAAAAAAATACAAGGAAGAAGACCGAAGTCAAATTACCGGGCTCTCCTTTTTTCCAATTTATAGGTCGGCCAGGAATTGGGGCCTGAAAATCCTCAAAGTTCCCAGAGACCCAGAAAAAATCATCGTCGTTTAAATCTTTGTCCAGTGTATATTTAATTATCTTCTCTCGGCGGCGACGTATTCTAAGATAATAAACCCACCCATCTTCTTTTGAGCCAATGGAATATTGGTGGAAGATTTCGGCCAGGCCAAGGTTTAGTCCGGCTTGGTGGTTCAGTGCGGCTATTCCCATAATGATGCGGTATGAATTGGTGGACAGTTGGGTAGGGCATAATCTAGTCTGCCTAAGAAATTCACAGATCAATGGTTGGACTGGAAACCGTAGTCCGGTTTCTATAATGGATAAAAGGGTGAAGGGGACAAAGCCTTCATTATCCCATGGGATGACATCTTTTTGGGCTAAAGTCAAGTGGACATCATCAGGTATGTTATAGTCCTTCCTGAATTCGGCTAAACCGCCCGGAGTATCTACCAGATACCTATACTTCCCCATTTAATTTATAGGTTACTAATAAGTTAAGTTCGGTCGAGAGAATGTGCTCAGTAGCTCGGTTGAGCGCACGGAGGAGTGCCTGGGCAACCTAAGTCTGCAAAGTAAAAAACAAAGGGGTTAAGCATAGATCATTGGACCGTGCTACAAATTAAAAGCAAGGTAAAAGAGCCCTACTTCGGCTTCGTGGGCAAGTACTATCTCAGTTAAGCAAAATGCATGGTAGCTCGGTTTGGGCAGGGTTCTTATTAAGCCAGATCTGACGAGCATCTCGGCACGCAGGCTTTGGAAACAAATTCTGTTAGACCGATTCATAGTCTAGGGACAGCTTTTTGAAAAAGTTTGGTCTAAGGAACTAAGAGAGCTGGATTAGCCCCAAAGGCCCAAATCGGTTCAACTATGAGTTTTGTTACTTCGGCTGAGCCTCTAGGGGCAGCTTTCTGAGTTTGGTTCAGAAACTTAGAAAGCTGGCTTAGCCCCAAAAGCTTAGCTCGGTTGAAGACCAAGGTTCCTAGTTTAATATGTTCAAACTTCGTTCGGTGATCTTATTTCGGCTAAAGTGAATCAGGAGTTGGTGACTCATTGAAATTTTTGTTATTTATACAAGTTCTAGTTCGGTTATTGACTAAAGTGATCTACCTATATAGGACAAACGGAATCCTGGTTCGGTTGCTATATGATTTTGGATCTGAGACTAGTTTTCTACAGAATAGTTCATACACGCATGAGTTCTGCTAATGTTTTTCCAAGAAAGTACAGATGCAAAGCAGAAGTGGAAGAAAATGTTTTGCAAAAGTACAGTAAAGAAAATGCGTAGAACAGGTACGAAGGTAAAGCAGGGAAGGGAGATGGATTTGCTTACCAGATTGAATAAAAGAGGACTGGAGTCGGAAACAATAGCAGCAAATGAAGAACACAAGCTTGATAAATGAAGAAGTAAAGGCACAGAGAGAGAAGACGAAGAATAGTAGAGAAAATGAGATTCAAAAAATGAAAGGGTTGTTTTGTTTAAAGGACGAAAGGGCGGGACTGTTCAAAAATTTCGTAGTACGAGGGCGGCGTGACAGCTGCCCCCAGCCTATCAAAGTCTGCCACGTGTCATTGGAAAGGGAAGCGTTACAGTCGTGATTGAAGAGATGTTTTTGACCGGACAAAACAGAGACCGGAGTATAATTAGCTCGGCTTAAAGGATTAAGAGTTTTTTTTTTAGCTCGGCCGGAGAGGCTAAAGGGTTTTTAGCTCGGCTGGAAAGGCTTAAAAACTCCAGCTCGGCTAGAAGACTGATAATCCCAATCATGCTGAGCAGATGGAATTAAGGGGCAATTGAGAGGGTAATTTTTGGTGAAAATTGGGCCGAGCTGTAAGATGGACTTTGTGGGCCCAAAGTACGAAGGACAGTGTAAAAAGGCCTTAATGTTGACTCTGGCCCCAAAGAGATATAGTTACTCCGGCCCAAGAGAGGTAAAATTACTTCGGTCCAAGAGGATGTAAAGCTACTCCGGTCCAGAGGCAACTTGGAGTTAGGCCGGTCGAAGAGATAGTCCGGTCATGATGTATTCTGGATAGGTCGGTCGGAATGTTGCTACTCGGTAGATCGGTCCAAACACACCATGGTTCGTGCATGAGAGAACCGAGATATGGTGTAGCAAGAAGAAGAACCGAACTACTGTTAGTACGGCCTACTCTGTGGCTCAGTATAGCCTGGTTTATCTCGGTCGTATGGCAGTTCGGCCATGATGAAAACCATCCCACTTGGTTTAAGCAGTGGGGGGGTGTAAAAGGATAAGCATTATCCTTAGGAGTATGAATCCTAGGAGGACTCTGCATGGAGGAATAGAAATCCTACTAGGATTGTGCCATTCGAAACTTATAAAAAGCTCACAAACACCACCTTGGAGGAGGTAACATAATTTTGCTCTCTGAGAACATAGAGCTTTGTCTATTTGTCAAGTTTTCTGACTTAGGCATCGGAGAGGTTTCCGGCACACACCCGCCGGCTAGTTCACGTTTGTGTTTTCAGGTGATAAAGCGACGTCGTACGGAGGAGCGTGGACTTGGTCAACAGGATTATACGAGAAGGTGTATTTCTTTCTCGTACAGTTTGGATGCATGTTCTCTTAGAAACAGCCTCCATGTGCTGAAATCTAATAAAATCCCACCTTGGAGAAAGAGGAAAAATAAAGGAAATAATTTATCAAGAATTTTAACAAGGCCCCTCAAAACCCGCTGATTGACTCAAAGAAGTTAGAAAGGATAAAAAGTTGATGTGGCATGGGAGATAGACATTCTGTATTAATGAAAATGTTTTGTTATGTTGCGGCATTGCCCTTAATATGTAATTTAGATTTTATTTTTTATTTTTTTGCATTTAATTTGGTTTTGTGGTTGTTTTCCTTTGAATGGATGTCATATTGAAACAAAAGCTATTTGTGCGAAGAATTGATTTTTAAAGAATGTTCTTCTTATGCATAGAAGTTATATACATCTATACTTTGTTGAGTTACCAATTTTCCCAAAAGCCATTATGAATGAACAAAATTTAGAACTGGTCCTTTGAACATCATGAATGAACAAAATTTAAATACATTCTTATCACATCAAGTTTATAACCTTAATGTCATATTAATATTATACTTGTCTCCTTATGTGTCCTGTTTGGTTTCAAGTAGACCACCACCAAATTTGGTCCACCTAGGGATGATTTAAAATTCGATCTCATGTAGTATTGTTTTATTTTGATTTGTCATTTATTTGGCTTAGTAAGCTTGTCAATATTATTAAGGTCTGACTAAATCTACATGCATTCTCGATTATGTTATCATTTTTAATTGGCTAGGTTGAGGATATTTCTGAATTTGGTTCATTGTCAGGTATGTAGATGTAAATTGTAAAGTGGTCTGTCACATAAGGAACTGTTGTTTGAGCTGTGCAATCGTATCATAGTTTGATTTATTTACAAGTCCAGGCAGTGGGTTTATGCCATTATAATTGAGGATTATGGTGCAGTGGTGGTTGGGAAGTGGTTGTAGTGTGGTAGTTTTGAACTTGGGGGCTGTGATGCTGTGGCAATGATGGCTGTTGAGATGGTGACGGTATTAGTACCGGGATCTGGGAGTGGATTCAATAATATTAGTTGTTAATTGAATCCAACTGCTTTTGAATTTGGTTTCATGGGATTGAACCCCAGGTCACCCCTAGTCCCAAGTGCAGGTGTTCAGTCTATATTCAAAATGCAATTTCTGTGTACCATTTGAGTTATGAACTTATGATATTATTTTGGTTTGATTTAGACCATAATCTAGTAGTTGAATTTGGTTTATAGGGCATGTTTGATTGGAAGGATTAAAGCATAGGATTGGGATTATTAATCCGTGGGCCCAATCATCCTATGTTTGTTTTGACATTTTGGTTTAGGATTATTAATCCAATGGATAATTAATCCAACAAATTTGTAGGATTATTAGTAATGGGGTAGGGGTGGGATAACTAATACCACACTAATTTAATAGGATTATTAATACCTCACTATTAGTGTTGTGAATCAAACATGGCCATAAGGTATACATAACATTATTCTTCATTTTTAAGCATTGTAAATACAGGAGCCATTTCTTTAGTGTAAAGTGTAAGTATGGCTTGATGACCAAAGATGAAACAATCATCATCCTTAGTGTAAGTATAATTCTTCTATTGGGGGAGTTCCCTACGAATTATTTAGTTGTCAAGTTCTTATAATTAAATTTATGAAATTAGGTCAGGTTAGTCCCTAGCTTTAAATCCTCCTGGAATGTATCATTTTCTTGATGTAATCAGAGTTGTATGTATATATTTTTTTATAATTTTAAATTTGGCAAAATGTAGTCAATACTAATGATTAATTTTTTGTTTTACAGATGATTTTTGGCGTGGAATTACAGTGAACGATTTTTTGTTACAAGTACGAAAGACATTGTTTTTAGTCTAAAAATTAGCATTAGTTTGTACATATTAGTTTTGTGGCGTGGTACAGGAGATTGAATTTGACGTCGTATAGATTAATTTTTGATGTGGTACAAATTACCTTTTCACATGGTACAGATTACTTTTTTGGCGTGGTACAGAATACCTTTTGGCGTAGTACAAATTAGTTTTTGGTAGTACAGATTAACAATTGGATATTAATTTTGTTTAATCCTATGTTATGTATGGAATTATATTTTTCAGATTGGATTATATTTGGTTTGTGTGGAATTTTTATTGGAAATATTAACTTGATGTTAAATATGAATTTTTTTGATGGTTGAAAGTAAAATGTGTGCATGTTGTGGAATGGTTGCTAATTTTATCAGTATATGGATAATTTTATATATATACTGGCTACAGATTGTACTAATAATGGAATAAATACTGGTGGTTGAGAAAGTAATTAAAAAAATAATAAAATTTTTTACAACTAAATATTTTGGTAGCCAAAAATGCAAGCAAAGATTTTTCATGACTAAATATTTAGTAGTAAAAAGAAACAAAAGACTTTTAGCGACCAAATAGTTAGTTGCTAAAATAAATGAAGATGAGGGAAGGAATTTTTGCCGACTAAAGATTTTAGTCACGAAAGAACATGGCATCCTTCGGCGACTAAAATATTTGGTCGTAAAATACCATGAAAAGAAAATATCTAATATTTTGGCGACTAAAATGTTTCGTCGTGAAAACTAATAACGACTAAACTATTTGGTCACTAAACATATTATTATTAGTGACTAAAATTTTTAGTCGGTAAATGTATTATTATTAGCGACTAAAATATTTTAGCGACTAAATATTTTAGTCGTTGAAAGAGAATTTTATTTTGATTTAATTACTTTTGGCGACTAAATATTTGGTCAGCAAAATGTCATGTTTGGCCAATAAAATATTTTAGCGACTACATATTTTAGTTGTTGAAAGACAATTTCATTTTGATTTAATTACTTTTGGCGACTAAATATTTGGTCGGCAAAACGTTATGTTTGGCGACTAAAATGTTTTAGCGACTAAAACATTTCAGTCGCTGAAAGAGAATTTCATTTTGGTTTAATTACTTTTGGCGACTAAATATTTGGTTGGCAAAATGTTATGTTTGGCCACTAAAATGTTTTAGCGACTACATATTTTAGTCGTTGAAAGAGAATTTCATTTTTATTTAATTACTTTTGGCGACTAAATATTTGGTCGCCGTATAGTTAGTTTTGGCGACTAAAATGCTTTACCGACTAAATATTTTAGTCGCTAAAAGAGAATTTCATTTTGATTTAATTACTTTTGGCAACTAAATATTTGGTCGCCAAAACGTTATGTTTGGGGACTAAGTCTGTTTTAGTAGCCAAATATAAGATAATTAGCGACCAACGTTATATTAGTCGCCGTTGACTATTGCTGACTAGGCTTTGGCGACCAACGGGGCGACGAATAAATTTAGTCACCATTGACTTTTGCCAACTAAAAAACAACCTTTGGCGACTAAAAATTTGGTCGCCAAGAGTGTAATTTCTTGTAGTGCAGGTATGTACAGTTAGAAAACTTGGTTTAAATAATTGTATTGAATTCAAATGTAACCGTAAAAGTTATTAAAATTAAAAAAATGACCTTTTTAAAGGTTGATAGTTGTTTGACTAAACTACTCAATTCATATTTTAGTCTAATATATTTTCAAGTATTTCCTCTCAAAATATTAACACTTCCAAATTTTAACAAAATCACTTTTTAAGTCATTTAAAATATACATATATTTTATTATACATAAAATAATCAAAATTTCTATGACTAAAACTTTTATTTTGTGTAATAAGTTTAGAAAGAGGAGTCATTTAAAATATACATATATTTTATTATACATAAAATAATCAAAATTTCTATGAGTAAAACTTTTATTTTGTGTAGTAAGTTTAGAAAGAGGTATCTTGACATGATCATCAAGTAATTCTCTCTCTCTCTCTCTCTCTCTCTCTCTCTAGGCCCTATTTGGCAATTGAATATTTTTATTCATTTTTTGACTTTTAATAAAAAGATATGCATAAAAGTAGAGAACATGATGTGGTAATTTATAGTGACTTTTTAATTTTTTGGCTAAAAATTTCACTCCCCAAACGGGCCCTAAATATATGAAGTAGATGTTTAACAAATTTGATTTAGAGATCAATGTAAACCTAAGTATGAAAACTTGCTTCCTTTCTTTTTGGAAAGGCGGAGTTTGAGATTGAAGTCTTATTAAAATTTTGTCAAATATATTATTATTAAAATGTGACAATGTGACATTATTTTAATATGTGCATTATTGTCCTCTTACGTTTTCAAATGTGGGTATGTTTCATTTGTAAGATTATAATGTGAAATAAGACTTTTGGATTCATAAGAATATTTATGGGACTAAATGGTTCATAAGTCAGGGACATAAGATTTATTAGTAAATGCCCCAAAACTTAATTTATTTATAAATTTATAAGAAATTAATTTGTCTATGGAGATAATATATAGGGAATGCCTTTGCAATCATGTAAAACCTCAAGGGAGGCCAATGTAATTTACCCCTTAACTTATGCATTGCTACAAATGGATGGTCAAGGGCAATTTTGATATTTTTATAATTAAGATAGCTGACATCATCTTATTCCGTTAGGTATTTTATCAGATATGCAACGGAGGGAAAATTTTGACAATAGTTTTAGAAGTAAGGGGAGATTAGTGTAATTATTGAAACTACATGAAAGGCCCCTGTAACTATGCAAAATATCAGGAGAGGTAAGTGTTATTTACCCCAAAAAAAATCTAGCATAAACCCTAATTCTATCCCCTCACCTCTCTATCCCATTGCAAAAAAATTGGTCAATTTCACTATTACCATTAATGGTGATTGATGGACTCTAAAGTGAGAACGAGTGTATGAAATGTAAAAAGATAGGACAATTTGGTCATTTCACTAGTTACGTTAATAACATTAAGGAGTATGTGATAGTTTGATAGTTAAAGGGTTTAATTGTACATTTTTATAGTTTATGGAGTAAAGTGATACTTCATAATAGTTCATAAGGGTAAAATTAAAGTTTATGATATATAGACACTATAACAAGTAAGAGTTTTTTTAGGGACTGTACTTTTTTTATCTTCAAAAGTGAAATTTGTGTTGCAAAAAATGTTTGGGGACCTATTTCTGTTGTCACAAAGATAGTCTTGCTTACAATTTTCATTAGACAACAATGACTTAAAAATTTATAAAAAAAAATAATTATCTAAAAGTTAGGGGAATGATGTTTTTACTTATACTATTAGGAGTGTCCATGGGCTTGATGACACACCTAACCCAACTTAATATTTCAGAGCTTGGGAAGATATTTAGTTCATAGGGCTTGGCTGGACTAAAATTTTCAGTTTATTTTATTTTAAGTCTGGACTTGAAATAAAGAGTCTCAGTCCAGACCGGCCCGGTCATTTATAAAATATTAATTTTAGATTTTATAATATTTAATTAAATATATGGAAACTTAATTGAACACACAAAAACACAGTTGTACTTAATAGTGGATTGTGTTCCTAAAATTTAAGCCAATACTGGAGATAATTAAACTGTGTTGGCATCCATATAGCGCACGTGTGGGGGTTATTCCTATGTGAAGATATTCATACAAAGTTATTCAAAAGCTAAACTTGATCATCCGCATTTTATTTTCCCGAAGAGTTGGCTTCAGATTTTTTAGCTTAAGAAAAACAGTTCTTTTAAGTTTGAGAGATGGTACTTTCACGAGGCATTGGAAGTATGAATCTTGATATTATTATATATGCCATATGGAAATTTTCTATTTTATGTTTAAGGTTTTGAAGATGAGATTTGGTATATTCCTTTATTTTGCTGAGTGCTAGATTTTCAAATGTGTAAATTAAACAGCTGCTTTATTGTGTTCTTCAATATAAATATGTGTAGACAATTTATTAATACTTGTATCGTATCGTTTTAGTTGTTACAATTCTATTTTTTGTTTACAGCAATATATAAGAGATGCGCTAGCGGATGACAAGACAACCTAGTTCAACTAAGACTGATTCCCAAAGTTCTATATGTAAATCTTAAGTTGGATTTTTTTTTTAAAGTTGCACATGTTTGGTACATGTATGGCTTTCAGATTGATATCTTTCCCTTGCAAGAGGTCAAATTTCCTTAGCACAAAATTCATTATTTATGACACACAACCGCCATACA